CTCACAAGATCTGATCCAGGTTGCAACCTTGAATGTCCGTACTCCATGTCAACTTGGACAACTGGCATCCCTTGCTGAAACCTTGCTTTCTCTCTCTATCAATGTGTGTTGTATCTCTGAAACACGCATACAAGATCCCACTTCGGTCGTGCTCCTCAAACCGCTTTTGACGAGCCCAGAACTTCCACATTTCACTCTTCGGGCATACAGTGATCCTGACGCAATGGCTTGTGGTATCTGTGGTGTGGGAGTCGCACTTAGCCCCAAGGCTGACAGCGTCTTACTGGACTGGATTTCAGTAAACTCGCCTTTGCGCTTTTGTTGCGCAGTTGTCTGACTCAAGAATTAAAAAAATCGGTCAGCTGTAACACCCTTTTCGGTGCTCAGCTGCCATGCTACCCGAAGGAAGCATTAGGGCTAGGATACTGCCAGGTTGCCCAAGCCTATACCGGTTAAATTGAGAGGCAGTGGTCGGGTTCGAACCACGGATCTTCCAATCAGTAAATACGCACCATAACCACTTCACACTTAAGATTAACGCAGTTTGATGCGGCAGGCGGTATTTGTTTGTCGTATCAGCATATGCTTCATCAGACCGTAGTTCTGAGATTTAGAAGGACGAGTTTTATCAAAATCTCTTCACGACTGTTTTGGTCGCCAAGAAGGCCGGATGTAGTAATGTACGTGTCGTAAGAGTAAGTCCGGTTGGGGCGACATGGCAATGTCTCAGCCCTCCTGATTCCTTCGGGTGGCGTGGCAGCTAGGTACCGGAAGGGTGCTGCAGCTAAACTGAACTAAGTCCGGAAGAAGCACAGTTAGACGGCAAATTTGGAGTTTATGCTAAGCGTACGAATAATGGGGGCGACCACGCGACTTGTGGCTTCATCCCCATTCTTATTGATTGGAATCTGAATGGCGGGAACGTTTAAAATGGCAACATAGCTGATTTGCGGTTTATGACTGACCCTCTCAAACGAAGCGAACAATTATAATGCGGTTGTATCTGTTGAAAATTTACATCGTTAACAAAATTGCAAATGTAATGAACGCAAAGGGTACGCGATTCCCTGTATTTCAAGATATCTCGGTTGTAAAAAGTGCAACCTTACATTTTGTTCCTAAAGGTATCTTTATCTCCAAAAGAAGATGATATTCGGGATTACTGGCAGTAACATAAATTTATTAGTCAGAACAGCCCATATTTAGCAGCTGACGCTGGTGTATAGGCTGTTTGCACTCAGCGCCGTTCACATGTTATGAAACCGCTATTCGTTCGAATGACCATCGCCTGCTATTTTCGGGCACGCGCAAGTTGAATGCTTACTAGTCTCCTGCACTTAGCTTCCAATTGCTCATTCCTGTTAATAATAGCCTAGACACAGGTGAGCAACGAGGAAAACTCAGTAAGCTTCCACTTAATGTACGTGTTTTCAGATTCGACCCGGTTACTGGTTTCATTACCAAGGGTCACAAGCATGCTTCCTAATCTAATGCTGGTGGCATAGACTTCGAACTCGCTCGTTTCTCTACAGTGCACCACTCGCTTAGACCAGGCGAACGAAATTTCCTTATCCGGATGAGTCACATCCCTAAGCTTGTGAATCCTAGCCTTGAAGCTTTGGACTCGAATTCCGCAAAGGAACGACACTCACGGCCGGTGAAGTACACCATCATCTGTCTGGTTACGTCGCGTTCGCCCGAGGATACATCCTGTGAACCTACAAGGCATTATGCAACATTAAACCACCTTACTTGACAACAATCCAGTTGATGAGGTACTCGGCTTAGGTTGTTGAAGCCGTGCTGATGTTGTGGGCACACGGACCGCAAGCGGAGCAAGCGAGGAGTGACCATTTGTAGCTCGGCACCAGTTTATATATCATCCTGACACTGGGTCCCTATGGGCTTGATACACCAGCTGCCCGGTCCAGACCGCAAGTTGCCGACTTTGTGTGCAGATCATAGTCTGTTCCGGCCAGTACGAATTCTGATACAAGTGCTCACATCGAGTTACTTGGAGGCGACCTACCACAAGACAGTCGTGGGATCAATTGGACCATGTGGCTATCAGTCCCCGATGGAGAGTCTCAGTCGAGGACTGTCGTTCCTCCTGGGGTACGCAAATTAACTCTGATCACGGCGTCGTGCAGGCGCGGACGGTACATCGCTTCCGTCAGTATCACGCATGAATAACAATATCAATAATTGTCCAGGCACGAGGGCTGGGATTTTACCAGGTTGTCCAAGCATATACAGGGGAAGTCGAGAGGGAGAGATCGGGTGCCAAAAGAGAACAGCTCCGTCAATCAACTTCGATAATTTTCAATAGCTGAAGAGTATCGAGCTGATTTAGCTAGAAGGCTACTGGGGGTTCACAGTCATGCAGGTGACGGAGATTAAAGGTTGGCTGGAGGCGAGTTAAAGAGGCAATAATCTCAGCTTTCAGAACTGCTTGTACAGGACATCTGGCTCGACTAAATGAAGACTGGATATCGTCGAGTTCAGCAGAAGGGCCATACCAGTGACTAGCGGTTATAATAGCGCACGCAGGTCCCTCAAATCACCCGGTAATCAGGAGTTTGAAGAATGACAGAGAACGCTGGTGGACTTTGAAAGCACAGAAGGTGGAGAAGGATTTCGGCGCAGGCAACAGCCGCGCTCTGTTCCAACTGGTCCAACCAACCGGTCACTAAAACAATATGCGAAAAAGACGAAACAGCAGTTCACTCCCTGTTACGAATAGAATATCGATCCTGATTGAGCTTGAGAACAAGAGTGAATAGCGTAGAATGAATAGCGTTTTCCTTGTCTAAGAATAGACGTACGTAAGCCGAAGGTGAAGGCGAAAGCATGGTTAATACAAAACGATAATGTGAACACAAAGAATATTCATGACATTCACCCGACCGTTGGATTGTGTGTAGAGAGGGATAACTTGAACACAAGTACTGGAAGAATGATTATACAAATCTAATGAGTAATGATGAGTGTGGTTGGGCTTCTCGATTTCTCACAATGTAGGACCGCGTATGCTGCTAGAGTCTGGCTAGATCAGAGATACTAGGGTCATATGTATCTGGAGATGCAGTGAAGCATCAGTGTTGAACACTGATGTCATGCTGTTGATGATGCTGATGATGATGATGATGGAGATTCAGGTGCATCGCCCGGGTACGGGGGTGAGACTGAAGTATGTTGGGTATTATCTTCAATGTTATTGAGCGGAGGCGTGTGCAAGCCAGACAGGGGTGTATGAACACCATTGTCTTCACTGGATGAGGTACGCGTGAAATCGTGCACGTGTGCGCTCACCACAAGGAGTGACATGGCGGACGGATACAGTGCCTTCTTTTGAACCGGGTTAACGAACATGGGCGTGATGTGGATTGCAATTTATAAGTTGGACTTCCTCACCGACAGGTTCATACTTTGAGGCACGGTCAAATCTTTTCAGTAAAACAGGTCCTGGAATAGTTAACCAAGTTGGTATAGATAAACCACAGGATGACCGAAGTTCGAACCGAAACATCCGTTCGTGTGGAGTGGCATTCGTGGTGACGCAGAGAAGGGACCGTGTAGAGTGGAGGACATTCGATAGAGACAACTCCCACTGACAGATTTGAAGGCCTTTCCTCTTGAGTCTAAGCTGGATTGCGTTCTAGAATGTCCCGTTGAGGTGTTCGACTTGCCCGTTCCCCTGGGGATTATAAGAAGTTGTTCGGCCGGTGCAAACTCCCCTGTCATGTAGGAATGTGGACAGTTCGTCAGATATGAATTAAGAGCCACGATCCGAATGTACATACACAGGCATGCCAAACGAAGAGAATAACCCATATAGACATTTAATAACTGTAGACGCACATGTATCTGCGCAGGGAAAGGCAAACGGAAAACGAGAAAACTCGTCAACGATGGTAAGGATATCGGTTTCCAGTAACAGAAGGTAGAGGTCCTTTAAAATCGATGCTAATTAATTCAAATGGTTAAGTCGCTTTGATGAGCGTAACGGGGGGGCGGTTTGTAAAACTGCGGTTTGATGGCGACACAAACCGTACACTTTGTGGTGATGTCTTTGACATCTTGGAGGGAAAGCGGCAAGTTTTTGGAAAGAACAAAGTGGTACACGCGAGTAATTCTGGGATGGCACAAGGAATTGTGAATTTCTCTTAATTTACCATTGCCGATCACATTGGCGCATAGGTTACGAGATAAGGTATCAGCAATCAGACTGTCTTTTCCAGGTCTGTAGCTGACATAGTAGCTAAAGGCGGAAAATTCCATTTTCCATCGCTGGATTTTATCATTTTTATCATACTTTTCTGCGACAAACCATACATAAAGGAAACTGACCGCTGGTCAGTGATAAGCTTGAAGTGCTTCCCGAAAAGATAACACTTCCATTTACGGAAGCGTATGCCTTCTTCTCAATAGCAGTGGTTCTTTTCGCTTGGTGTCAGTGTTCTAGAAAAGAAGGCCACCGTTTGGCCGTTCTGAGTCAGAGATGCAGCAATGGCTATGTCTGAGGCGTCAGTCTCGACAACCAATGGTGCGTTGCAGTCGACTGTCACAACTATGGCGTTCTCTAACTCCTTTAAATTTTCGAAGGACTGTTGCACACGCTCCGGTAAGGGGAAAGTCTTATTTCTGACAAGCACACTGATTTTGTCAGAGAAGCATGGTATCCATTGCGAATAATAAGCAAACGTACCGACAACTCGTTGGGATTTAACATCATTTGGATGAGGGCGTTCACGAATAGGTTTCATTCGTTCAGGATCTGGTTTGATAATTCCTTTAGAGACTTCATGGCCCAGAAGGTGTATTTGTTTGGCTGCTATGACGCTTTTCTTGCAGTTAAGGGTAATTCCATATTTTCTTATTACTTCAAAGAAAGATTTGCTCACTTTGGGTAGTCCCACAAATAGTTACGTTGTCGATGTAAGCGTAGGTGCCTCTTAGGTTCTCAGACTTGATTATATGGTCAATAATACGTTGAAAGCATGCTACTCCGTTGGTTACGCCGAAAGGAATACGACGGAACTGAAACAGCTCTCCGCATGCTTCAAAAGCCGTATACGGTTTGTCTTGCTCACTGATTGGAACTTGATGGTAGGCGCTCAATAGGTCTAAGGTGCTAAAGACAGTATGGCGGGAAATTTCTTCGATCATTTTATCCAGTCGCGGTAACGGACACGCGTCTAGGTATGTGGACCGATTAATGGTTTGACTGTAGTCCAATACCATGCGTCTTTTGTGGTTTGAATTTTTCGTGACAAGTACTTAAGCCCTCCAGGAAGAATTCGAAGGTTCAATTATACCTTCATCCAATAGTCGATTAACTTCAGAGCGGACAAATTGTTCATCGTCAGGATTATGATGTCGTTATTTCGTAGCGACAGGCTTGCAGTCGGGTGAGACCTTAGCAAAAAGAGGAGGTGACTCGACCGTAGCAGCAGGTAGACCGCAGAGGGTGAATGAACCTCGTTTCCCACCGAATGTGATTTCAACTTTTTTTATGTAGACCAAGGAAGTCATGGCCTAGCGGCAGGTCAGCACATAGATTGGGTAGTACCAATAGTTTGATTTTTTTTGTAAACGGTACCCCTGTAATCGATGGGTGCGTAGCAGTAGCCTCTAGTTGAACACGTCAGAGAGGTAGATGCCATGGTAATCACAGAATTGTTAGCATATACCTTCCAGTCATGTTTACCAACCACTAAAGGAGATATATAACTGCTCGAACTTCCTGTGTCTATGAGGGCCTGAAGCGATATCCCGTTCACCTTTGTGCTGGTCACCTTGCGGGCAAGCAGTTCGAGGCCGCAGCAGTCAACAGGGAAGATAAGGCAGAATTTGTCGCGCAATTTGAGTGATTTTTTGCAGATTTGGATCGACAAACACGCTGAAAATGGCCTGTTTTGCCACATTATTTACAAACTGCTTCTCTTGCGGGGCATTTTGACCGTGGATGTCTGGAACGACCGCAAAAGTAACATGTCTGAGAATTGATTGGCGAGAGATAGGGTGTAGAATCAGGGGAGATTGAGTGTGAAAGGGTAGCTGTAGATGTCTGTAAAGGTGCTGCAGCCGCAGAAAATCATTTTGGTTGGTTATGTGAGCATGGCTGAGCTTGTTTGTGGGCCAGTTCTAATGACCTAGCCAATTCATGTACTTCATCGAGAGTGAGTTCATTTTGAGCTAAAGGTCTTTCTCTGATGGTAGTAAACTGAAGTCCGTTGATCAGAGCATCGTGTACACTTTCGTTTTGACGGTCAATAGCGGACGCCGCCTTGAAATCACAATTTTAGCCAAGGATTTAAGGCTCTGAACAAACTGATCAACATCTTGACTGGTGTCTTGTTTGCAAGTTTATAGAAGATGGCGAGCATAAAGTATATTCTCAGGACGAGCACACAACTTTTCAAGTGTATTGATAGCGGATTCGTAATCTGGACAGTCAGCGATGTAAACGGACCAAAGTTTTGAGGTTACTTAGATTAGGCGTTTCGGCAGTGCCCATAAACCTTTGGAAGGTTCGGAACCAAAGATTCCAACGCGTCGTTGTGTCTGGAGAATTAGGATCTGTGTCGAAACACTTGGGTCGTTGCAATGGTTCCATTATATTCTTAGACAAGTAAATTGTTACGAATAGAATATCGATCCTGATTGAGCTCGAGAACAAGGGTGAACAGCGTAGAATGAACAGCGCTTTGCTTGTCTGGGGATAGACGTACATACGCTGAAAGTGAAGGCGAAAGCATGGTTAATACAAAACGATAATGTGAACACAAAGAATATTCATAACACTCCCTCAATCATCTTGAGCTATGGGCTAAGCACTTCAAGATACAGTTCAGCTTGAATAACTAAGCGGGCCCGAATGCAACCGAAATCCGGCGTAAGATATCAATCCCGGCTCGGATGGTCTGCACCCCGGACTGTTCCTAGAAGGTGACGAGGTCCTGGTGAACAGTCCGACGACCACACTGCAGGAGATTCGGTACGAAAACATTACCAGTCGAATAGCGCTCCTTGACTGTCATCTCGGTTTTCGAAAAGTGTGCAATAACGTCATGTGAAAATCACCATGGTACCAGCCCGATATCCGTCGCATCTAAAATACTCTCGGGTTATTTTGCGCAGGTCGGTCGTCAGAAACTTCGGCAGTGTCTGGCGATCAAAGCTGTCCCTTCCAAATTTATATACCTTTTGAGGACATTGTACGCGAACTCTTTTTGACGGGCCCTCTGCTGAGTGAAAGCGACCGAGAGGTGGACAGCAAAGTACGGAAACACTAATCAATAAGCTTAGTCGGGTCGGCAAATGCCGCCTCCCTGGATGGGGACCCCTGGACTCAACTCACTAATAGTTAATGACATTGATAGCAATGGCCCGATTGCGCAGTCCATAGCGCTGGTGTATCAAACCTATCGCCCTCAATGCATAGCTACCCAGTTCCCGAAATGACCAGATGTGCTATTACCTTCAAGGCTTGGCTATATGTCCCACACTGTCCCGTTTTCCGGTAATCGAAACTGTAACATCTAGACCAGTGTGCTAGTAGTACACGGTTTGTACCTGATAAATTGGAAAATTAATTGGTTGATACGTTTTCATATTCAGTACTTTTTCGGCGATCTCCGGTTGCATCCACACGTGTAGTTGGATATTCTCATCGTGATCTTACGTCATTGGTAGTCAACTTCGTTGCTTACTCTGATTACAGGATATAGTCTTTCCGACGGAAAATGCACCTATCAACTGGTGCGTCTTGTGTTACCTTAAATACAATGTCACCAAACCTCTTGTCTGTTTTTTTAACCGCCCGAACTAAACGCAAATCCATGAGGAAGTAAGAATTTACAGGTACTTTCTGTTACTGTAAGTTTTGGACTGGTTGATTTGGTCGGAACGAATCACATGAGGTCGCTCATCTGTCTCAGTTGTGTTGGGAAGTGTGTCAAATAGGTCACACTGTCATCGGAGGTACTATTACCCATTGCGCAACGGCATTGTGTAATTTGCCACTCTGTGCCTAGATTCTTGGCTCCTTCAAGCAGCTGCAAAAATACATCATTGCACATCCAATGTGTTAGGGAAATTCCTCGACAATATGCCTACATTCCCTCTGTTTGGATTTCTCTGAACATTCCTACCCCTTCATCCAACTTCACCAAAAGTTTTTATTTCTTAATGGGGTAATTTACTGAACACCCGTCGTCACACCGACGGCACTCTTAATTACCTACCAATTTGTGCCCGCTTTTCAGCTTTTTCAGACCATCAATGAACGAAGAAATTTCTAGCGATGAATCGGTTCGTCATCCGTAATTTTTTCCATGTTATTCCCATGGTTTTTTAGATCGACTGCGACGATATCCAGATCGAGTGAGTTCCTGTTATCATTCAGATGACTTTCTCTGTCCAGCCCAAGTTATCACCAACAGCCCGTTGAAGAACACGCAGCCATCTCTCACCCTCCGAAGAAGATTGAATCAAAGTGATTTCGCGTGTCTCTTTTGACTTTCGTGCCTTTCAGGAAACCTAAACGAGTTGTGGATGTTCGTGCAAGTAAGGGACGTGTACTAAGGTATCTGCGGCTCCCAAAAGCCGTCGACTTCATGTCTCCAGACACGACGGAATATTTTTCCCAGACTCAGCGAAATAATTTGTTTGCTCAGTTAAAGGCCAATAAAGACTAGTATTGTGATGTATCTGTTCTAGCTGGGTGATGCTGGAGGTGTAATAGTGGACGCTACTGGTTGTTGACAACAAAGGGATCGCTTGCTCACCAGTACCAAACCTTTAACATCAGTGTCAGAAAAATAACATGGTTTGGTGAATTTGGCTCAACAGTCTAGGAGCTAGGATGTTTTGGCGATTGATTCGTCCGCTCTATATCCCA